TTTAAGTACGAGCCTGTAAATATAGAATAATGTGCAAATATACTTCAATATTCATAGGCCAGAAGCTGGAAAGAATGACTGGGACGCTGACGCATTTTGCAAAAATTACGTTGAGTGTAGTAAGACTGATACTTAACAATTTGTTCAAAATTGTTAAGATAATCTGGGTGTGGGAACACAGAAATTTTGAGCCAAAGCCTTGACGACCACAAGAAACTGCAATATAAGTAGCGAATAATGTGCAAATGGACAAAGCTTGAAAAAGCGGATTTTTGTGAACATTGGCGAGATTCCACCGTGTCGATTGCCGTCTTTACCCATTCCTTTGGAATTGAATTAAGCAAGTTCCGTCCGTTTTCTTCCTTTTCTCACTCTGAAATATTTGGAATTTTAGCAAGTGGGTAATAATGACATAAGCCACTGACTTTACCTTTTTTTGTGCTTTAGCTAAGCTTTTCCGTTTAGTACCCGTTTCCCGTATCCTGGATACTATCTATTATTGTCATCCAACCATGTCCTAGTGCTCGATGAATGACACTCCATCGGCTCAAGGTGTCGCAGTAGATCGCTCCACTGCCAACTGATACGCCAGTAATGGCAGCAAACAAAATTCCGTTGAGGTGGGAGGACTTCAGGACGCGCTGTTCGGCGCCTATCTCACAGCGATCCACCACGGCTGCACCAAAGACTGTGCTGACAGATTCAAACACCACCGGCAACCAGGGCAGCAGGAGGCCAAGGAGTGGGAGCCAAAACACTTCCCACTGGAGTATAGGCGATTTTCGAGGACGGTGGACTTTGCAATGCGCTATCCTGTGTGTGAATCGCAGTGATCCGCTGCGACTGAACCAAATACTTTCGTAACCGAGGTAAATTCAAAAGGCCGGCGAATCACCGCTAAGGGAAGGAAGGGAAGAGTCAACACGAACCAAGTCGGCTCCAACAGGAGCCAATGGGCCGTATAATCTTGCTAAGCCCCATAGCCGATGACGGTGACAAAGGCAGGCAGGATCGAGGGGTGGCGATCCCTGAACTGGAATTGTACGCTCGAGTCCACAACAACGGTCTACAGCCGAGGCGAAAGGACAACAGGCGTTCTGTCCTTTATATTCAGTCCGTTCATCAACCTCCTTAATGCAATTTATAGTGCTTCATCATCTCTTCATGCATTCAGTTATTATTAATAATACTTAATCAGTTCTAGCTGCAACAACAGCTATTGGAATCAATCCAATGACGACCCTCAACAGCAGAACAAACAGTGGTATGATCAGTTCAAACAATCTCGGCAGCCGCACAGCTGTTTGAGTGGACATTATGTACCAAATGACAAACAACATTGCATTATTTGCATTGAATTCAGACATACTTCATTGTATTTGTAAACAAAATAGCACGTAATTGACGAATTCGTCATCCGCTGTGGCTGCCGCTATTTTCCAAACAATAAGCAACACCGTCGAGGACCTTCCATTATTGCACCTCAATCGCTGCCCCGTCAGCTTGTGTTCACCAAGTATATGAGACATCCCCTCGTAACTGGTTTCTACATATATGGCATAGCAGGAGGTGGAAATTCGGGAGCACGCACGGTGCCACAACAAAGCCGTGTACTGCGATAATCAAGGCTTTGGCTCAACACTGCAACGTGGTCGCTATTGGCATCCGGATGCCAATAGGCGATCCACTATGAAGTTGTACCGCTTACAGTACAAATAAGCTGCCTCTACGCTAGACCTTCGCACGTTCGATGCAATAACCATTGCAACATACCCTTCTGCACATGTTTCAATCAATCATATCAACACCAATCCCAGTGTCTAAGTAACGCAATCATGGGGCCCAATCACGGGACCTCGCTTCGGCTGCCGCGGGCACGAATCGCCGGTTCAGTGCCTCCCATCTGTGTTTGCGCCTCACGGCGGCGTGTCGCAGGTGTGATTTCCGCTCACCGTGGCCACCGAACCATAGAACACAGCCATACAGAAGGCTGGCGACACACAGCCCATCAGGCGTGTGTTTCGATAACGACATGTTTCGGTAAGACATGGTTTGCCACTGATTCAGTGGCACACGATCAATTGTGTAGGTCACTCTACAAAGGGACGCAACTTGGGCTGCGGCGAGTGCCACTGACGATTTGCCACTGGATCGGTTCAAGTCTCCACAAACGTGTGCTGAAAACTGTGTGCAGCGAAAACGGGGGTTTCGGCGCCATTTTGAAAAAATGGGGTATTTTCGGGAAAGTGGAGTCTGTTGAAAACGGCACCACGGATTGACTACTAACCAGATTGGCTCAAAATCTTGGGAGCACAAACTGGACCTAAATTTGAATAATGTGATAAATTTTGCGAAAATATGAGAAATATAGTTGGGTCTCTAAGGCCACTGATCATAACTGCAATTTATTCTGGGACGGAGGAAGTATGTATGCAGATCGTGCCCCAGATACTGGCATTTTGTTGGATTCTTCTTGTGTAACAGATAAGCAGACAGGAAAGGAGCAACAAAATTGCCCGACAGTGGGTTCGTGGCTGAGAACGATCCACAGCTCTTCCGGTATTGGCAAAAGAGCTGATTCCACATGTGGCAGACTGATTGACTCCTTGTGTTAGCTAGGTAATGTTGTTTACCAGTTTCCTCGCGACACATACTCGTGGTTGGAAGTGGTCGCTTCCCTATGCAGAAATCATTGGATTGCATCCACTTGAAAGACAGATGTACGCAGTACGCACCAGCGTCTGAAATCCATCAAATGCGTCAATCCCAATGTGTGAGTGCTTTCAAGTCCCGCACGTTTCCAAACCCCTCACCATCCCTGCCCTCGTCACTTTAGGACATCCAGATGGTTCAGTATCACCAAAATGTACAGATGCAATAACGCGTCTACTGTGATCCCGGGGCTCAGGCGCAGATCTAAACTCATTACGGAGATTAGTTCTTCCATCTGCCTTAAATCCGGGTCTGCAATGGTGCGCCCTTTCAGAGAAACCCGTAACAGGCACCAAAAGTTACACGGGGCTACCGCGTCGCCTTCAAGAGATTCCGGCAGCCAGAAATTCCAGGATCTCTATTCTGTCAAATTTTCATATCACCGGCAGGGGATGGGACGCGGCGGAAAGCATTGAGACGTCATGGCGCTGGTTGCTCACCAGCACCAGTGCCAATTCCCAAGCCGCATTGACTTCGTCGCGTGCCCTGGTGGCGCGGGCCTCGCCGCCAGCCGCATCTAAGCGCAAGTACGCCCGGCGTGAACTTGAAAACCTTTCCCAGAGCAGAGAGCAATTGCACACGTGCGATCGTCTCGACAGCGTGTCAAGTCCACGACAGAATGGTAGCAAAACTTGTAGGAAAAGCGCGCAGTGAGTTTGTCGCTTTAAATTAGTTTTGGTCGCTAAGGCGAAGTGCCTGGGAGAGGGCGGCAACCGCCACATACGTTTGGACAAGTGTTTGGGAAGTGTTCCAAAACACATTGGAACGAAACTAAAAAGCAACTCCAAATTATGGAAATCAGTTCGAAAGCAAACAAAATAAAATTCCATGCGTTCCGAGTTGAGGCGCGCGGCCGTGCCCTCTGCACCGTATGTTGTGCATCCAGGAAGTTAGGAAGAAGCTGGGACAGGAAGCCGGAACCTGGCCTCCCGCAAACGGTGACGAACTTCCGCCGAATCCGATGATTGCCTCAAAATCCCCTGGCCCCGCTCAATGGCGAGCAACACACGCGAAAGCGTCCCTAGGGCACACGTGGGCTGTTCGTCAGCCAACGGGCCCCGCAGAGCGACGAGCCAGGACGGGAATTGGCCCGTGTGGACGGGGAGGGCTGTGGAGTGGTCCCGCCAGGTCTTCACAGCGGCGGCGCTCAGGCTCTGGCCGGCGGATGCCCTGGTGGCGGCTGCGGCCCGTCGGTGGTGCCTCGACCGGCGGGGAGGCCGAGCCATGCCGAGCCAGCGGCAGCGACAGCGGGGGATGCGATCGCCGGGACAACAGGTGGGTGCCCGCGCTGCGTTCGTCTGCCGGAGGATCCGCGAGGCCAACGATCGAGGGGCCGAGAGATGACTCCTCGGGCCATTCAATCCCGCGGCGTGGAGGCTGGCTGTCGCTGGCTCAGTCGCTGTGGCGCGGTTGGATTCTGTTGGAGCGTCCCTTTGGAGCTCTGGGCGTGGTGGTTGGGCTGATTCCGATGTGCTTGCTGCCCTGAGGCATTTTTGGCGCCGTTTTCCGCCGCTGCCGATGGATTGGTCAAGGCAGTGGCTGTCGCGCCGTGACGCGGTTGGGTTCTGTCGGAGTATCCCTTAGGAGCTCTGGGCGTGGTGGTTGGGTTGATTCAATTGTTCAATTGTCGTGCTGCCCAGCGCTTTTTTTGGCGCCATTTTCTCTCTGGTGCCAATGGATTGATCAGGCCCGTGCGGGATTGATCAGGGCGATGCCCTGCACGTCGGGCACATTCGCAAAGGGCAAACAGCCCTATCCGCTCGCTGGCGGAGGCAAATCGTTGCCCTTCGAGGCGCGGCCTGCAATGTCTTTCGCGACTCCAAGACGCAGATTTGCAGATTGCTGGGGGTCGTATCAGACGTTGTTGCAAGACAGGATATTTGTTTACCTTACGTTCAGTATTCTTCAGTTTTTCACATCCCCGTGCCGAAGCGACAAGCGCTTGTGCCATTGCTGTTGTGCAATCCACAGTTGCACAGGGGATGGGTTACAAATTCGTGCATGAAATGGGTGAACACCGCAGCAGAGAGTTAATGTTGGCATGGAGAATTCCGATAATAAGAGAGCGAACGAGCGCTGATTAGCGGCTACAGCGCCCAGCAGCAGCTGCGAAGGGCAAGGGCTTTGATTCCCATGGCTTTCCGGACAACTGTAATCCACCGAGTTATGGAGCACTGATATTTTGCATTTCCTCCACCCAATGCTGGAGGTGCGGTCTGGCCACTGTGTGGCATGGTTTTGGGATTTCAGGAACTTAGCATTGTGGAGTTGGGATTCTAAACACAAGCATGGGATGGGCTGGGGTGAACCAACCGCTGTGCACAAATGGGGGTAAGGGTGGTGCAATGTTCCTCAGCTCTGCACTGTGCTTGCAACACATCTCTCAAATTTGCCAAATTGCCAACCGTGGACTGACTAAGACCTGCATTTGCGCTTTGCCTATGGTACGGTTGTCATTCCAACAACGCATTCTTTGCTGCAGCTCACACTGCGTTTCTTTGCGCAGACACAAGGCTCTTGGCATGGAGTCCCCACTACAAACAGTAAGTTTAATCAGGGTGGGTTTCATAGAAGCTGGCAAACCTGGCAAATTGCAGCCAGTTCCACTGAGCCATGCATGCTCAGCACATCTAGGCGTGCGCGTCATTTATGTGCAGTCGTTTTGCAACCAAGAGGACTCCGAGGGATGAGGCACCCTCCAAGATGATGGCAAACCTCAGAACTCTGCTGCATTCTGTTCCCGTAGCTCCCTTGTCAATTTCATCCTATCCTTGTGCCAGGTGGTGAATGCAAACACCCCTCATCTGCAGCTTTATTCCCAACTGTCCACGATGTCACACCGCTGGCTGACTGTTGCGATGCTGTGACTCAGGTCGATTGGGGTCACCTGCCATTCGCGGTGCTGGACAATGTGCGAGAGCGGCTGGGCAAGAGTCGCAAAAGGCAGTCCGCCATGGTGGCCTGCGCGCGCTTGGTCAACAGACACTGGTGCTACTGGGCAGCTGAATCAGAGGTGGTGCTGAACCTGTCCGGCAGCCTTCCCTTGGAACTCATGGTGCACATTGCCATGAAGCGTTTCACGAGAGTTGTGGGGCTGCTGGTGAATGGGTCGGTGCCTATGGGAGGTGACATGCCTGGCAACCATTTGTCCTGCCTGGAAAAGCTGACCCATCTGAGGCAGCTGAAGGTCGTGGGGTCGTCGAGCCTGACGCAGGACAGCTTGGGGCACGTGGCACATCTGCGCAGGTTGAAGAGGCTGACCCTGCAAGGGTGCGGGGGAGTGTCTCAGGGCTGCCTGTCGCATTTGGTGTGCCTGACCGCGCTCGAGACCCTGGACCTGGACACTTGCGCAAACCTGTTGGACAACAGTCTGGAGCATGTTGGACAGCTTACGTCCCTCAAGCGCCTGAGCCTGATCGGTTGCACTAAGGTCACTGATGCAGGCCTGGCCCACATAGGCAGCTTGACTGGGCTGGAGTGGCTGGCGGTTTACAGGTGTCAGGGCGTCAGCGACAGCAGTTTGCAACAGGTGGGGAGCCTGACAGCCCTCAGAACCTTCCATTTCGGCAGGTGTCCCAGAGCACAGAGATTTCTGGCAGACATCTCCAAATGCAAAGCCCTCGAGTCGATGATTCTATCCGGTTTCGATTCCCTTTGCCTCGAGGACCTGATGCATGTGGCCTCTCTGAGGGGACTCCGGCAGCTGACCATCCACATGTGCCCTGGCGTCAGCGACGATGGTCTGCAGTGCATCGCGGGTCTGACAGCATTGAAGCGGCTGGTGCTGCAGGGCTGTGCGGAGATCACAGATGCTGGCTTGGCTCATATCAGCAGCCTCCCCATCCTTGAGAGGTTGACACTGTACATGTGCCAGAAGCTGACGGACCATGGCCTCCACCACATTGGGCGGCTAACGACCCTGCGGCGCCTGAGGCTGGACAGGTGCCCGAGGATCACAGACAAGGCGCTGGCACACATGGGCAGGTGGAAGACGTTGGAGAGCCTGGAGCTGAGGGCGTGCGGCGGCATCACGAATAAAGGTCTGGAGCAGAGCCAGAACATGAGGTCGCTTGTGCGGCTGAAGGTTGACTGGTGCGAGAAAGTGGGGATATATGTTTCGGCGGTCCGGTGCTGACGTGCTCCCTGGCCCTCTGCTGGGGAGGAGTTTTTTTTTTCGTAGTGCGTTCTTGGAAAGGAGGGTATCCCTCCAGGTGGCTTTCCCTTGCTCGCACAGAGCGCATTTTTGACAGCGCTTCAGCAGTTGGCCCACATTGCTTTGTGTATTTTTTTGGCCTCCAATTGTTTGGACATCAGGTTCTTCGGCCTATTTTTCGTCTCTCTCATTGGATTCGTTGTTTGGTGAAGCCGGTCTTTAACGAGACAATAATCCCGTTGAGGGTGGTGGAATTCCCAGCAGTCAATGTCTCCAGTGTTTGAGAGCTGGCGTGCGCAAATTCTATTCTCGGCATTCAGCAACTCCCCTGTGAGCTGCTGGGAGACTCATTGCACAAATTCTGGCGCGAGAGGGTCCGAACTTCAAGGAAGATTGCGTTGTCCGAAGGGGCAACAGCGTGCATCTATGTTCCAGTCTGGGGTGAGACACCTTAGACACAATTGCATGCGACGAAATCCGCTCCCAGAAACGGCACCACTGTCTCGCGCTGAGATTGAAACCGACTAGGGATCGGAAATTGCATCAAACATGAAGAAATGTAGTTCTAATTATAAGAAGCGTTCTGGACGATGCAGCAGAGGACTACAAATTTACACAGAATGAATGCGACAACACATCTGTAGAGAGAGCAATGTGATGGGCGTATTTGAGCCATGTGGAATACAACTTGACTGCCAAAAGAAGAAAAGAAAAGAGAAGAAAAGAAAGGAAAAAAAGCTAGCGGGCTTTGCAGGGGTGAGAAGAGCTTCCCTTGAGGGATGAGTCCTCACGACCGCATCTGCCGGACCTCTCTCGCCCCCCCCTCCCCTCCCCCGGAGTTCCTCTCGAAAAGAGTGTCTCCACGCAGCATCAAGGAATATCGCCCCCTGCCTGGCGAGCAGGAGATCACTCACCGAGCATTCCGGCCTGACACACAGCCTGAGCCAATCAAATTGGATAGGCAAGGCTCCGGTGGCGCAAGGGAGTGGCGAGGTAACGACAGGTTTTCACTGCCGGCAGAGCCCCACCGCAATCTGGGTCCACATCCACCTGTCCGTCATTCGTGCCCTGGTGCTGGAACCAGGTTTGGACCCCTACCTTGGATGCATAATAGGGATAGCCACCAGAGGGTTGGGGCCTCAAGGGCGGGCGGCGCGGGCAGCAGCAAGACGGCGTCGCTGCACGGAATGCTGGCGAAGGCTCTACCCTTGGATATCCGGTGGCTCAGGGGATTGCGTCTGGACTCGACTGTCGACGATTCCGCTGCGGATGTGCGAAACCCGAGCACTCGCGGTGCAGGGAATTTGCCGCTCTTGGTGCTGTCTCCCGAATGGCTTGCATGATGCTTGTTGGACTGTGTGGGGGACAGGAAGGTTGCGCTGGATCGTGCGTATCAAACGTCTCCTAACTTCAGATGGTCTGAAATCTAACCGGTTTCCAAACCTCACGAGGTACCCTGCGGCCGGCTGCCCTGGAGCCAAGGGCGACATTCAAATCCCCTGACAAACAACATGGCCACACGCACATCTTCCCGAACATTCCATCGAGATCAATTTCAAGCCAAGTCATTTGGGGCACATTCCATGCAGCGACCGCGGTCAACCACGGTGCTCCAGCCATCCACCCCCGCTCAGCCCCTTCCCTCGGGGCCGGGCGCCCGCGTCCGGACTCGTGCAGCGCCGCCCAGGCGGCTGTGGGCCCGGGGGCCCGCCGGGGCCGCCCTGGACTGCCGACATGATTACGCCAGACGCCTTCGGGGGCGGCGGCGTTAACCACGGCGGCGACGCAACCCTGCGGACGGCCGGGCGCACCGCGGCGGATGAGGGAGGTGAGGTTCGCAGGGCAAACCGGGAATCAGCCTTTTAGTACTTTATTGATTCCTTATTTTGTATGTTATTGTATTTTGTTTAACAATTGGAATAAAAAATCCGGGATTCGGGAGCCAAACTTCTTCTCGAGAGAATTATTATGCGTAAGGTGGTCACTCAGGGGTCTGCCGCATGTATCCGATGAAATGCGGTATGTTTGGTGTTCATGTGTATCTTCATGTTTGGTCTGGTGTGCTGATACTGTGTCATGCACACTGCATACTGTGCATTTTGGGCGGTTAGGTTATACCAGGCGGTATTGCTGTGAGGTGTGATCGGAATTTGATGTTGCTGTGAATAAATAATTAGTATTTAAACACAATCAACCCGGGAGGCTTCTGATTCCTTGCATCCTCCCTGCCGGCTTGCGTGTAGAAGATTTCTAAAGTATGTTCCGGAATATTCACAAATTGATTGATTGGTACTTTGATGTTAGCCAATTGACTCAAGAAATTCACCGCGCAGTAATCCGCATTCCTTGAGGTTGCTCATCGCGAAAATTGGAGAGCCAATTCAAGTGAGCTTGTCTGCCGATATCCACTCATTAAAACTGGGCGACTCTGCGTGCCCTGCAGGGTGGTGGGCCTACGACACCGACCAATCCAACAAGATGACCCTGGGCAGGAGCGTCGAGCGTAAGGAGATGAGCGGACTCGCGCCGTTCCCTCGCGAGGGATGAGTCCATGAGTCGGTTGGGAGGACGGAGGTGGGCGCCTGTACCAGGAACGGCGCCCCGCGAAACGGTTGTCGTCTCGGGGAAAGGATGCGATGTTCTCGCAAACGGGAGCGCAGAAAAGGGTTTTGTACTCGCACCGTAGAAGCTGGCAGTTGATGCGGCCCGCCGGGAGAGAGGGGGGTGACGTTGGTGAAGTTGCTCGCTCGTAGACATCTTGCCTGTAGACGTGCATTCGCGTGCCGTTTATGAGTATGGCTCTCCTTTTGGTGCGCTTCGGACGGCAAAATGGCAGTGTGCAGAGTGCCACGGCTCAAGCGCATCAGCGGATTGCCTGGACTAGATTTGTACACCCGTGGGAAAGAGCAGACGTTAAGGTTGAGGGAGTCAGGTGACTGCTAGCGCAGCGGTTTGGGATTGGATGAACGTTCGATGGCGCTGTCCACAATAGCGTATTCAGCCCTCCCCCACACCAACGTAACGCTTGGCTTCTTTCTCCGGAGAAAGCAGTAAATATATAACTCTCCTTTATTAAAAATTTTCCGAAGCAACTTAAAGAAAAGACAAAGCTGTGAGAAAAAATGCAGAGCAAAAGCGTAACGGTAAAATTTTCTGATGCGGAGGGGTTGAATATGTTATTGTACCTTGTCGAGGGAGAGGCAGCCGAGGCTCTGGGATGTTGAAGGAATCGGCGAGTACACGACTCGTGAGCAAAACTGTGCAATAAGATTGGGTATTCTCAAAGCAGAAATGCAAGTAGAGCCGTCTGGCCACTTACACAGAAAGTCATGTGGAACAACGTCAAAGACAGAGCCGCCGCGAATTTCGTAATGCTTCGAACATTTGGATGAGATCCTAGGACTGCTCAAGCGAAAAATATGCCAAAACTGGTTGATAATGCCCTGATGCCCGGAGCAATACTGCTAGGAAAGGAGTTTAGACTGCCTACACGTGTTATGTGCCATGATGTGCCCACATGCATACGCGCTTCGCCTATTTATCCAACTGACATGGCCGCAAGTCAATTTGTTTTCCTGTATGTTCATCTTCGATTTTGTCGCTCAATTCTTTGACAAAACTGATATTTTCCGCTCAAATGAAGAAAATCCCGGGATATTCCTTGCGGCTCATGTTCGCGTAATTGAAAAGCATGTGGTGCCGAAATACCGCACGCCACATCTCCGAATACGAGCGTTTCGTGCCTGTTGCTCCTCACCAGGCTCTCCCCTTAAGTACTCCATTCTAGACTCACCGTCTCCGCGGTTTCGACAACATGTGTCGACGGCACCCTACGGCGCATACGACGTCGATACAGCTCACAAAAGCGGGATGGCAAAGTCTGTCAAAGGTGAGATATTACATCTTCTGAACTCTTTACGTCATCCACATGACTTTTTTCCCGTATGTCTTGCAGGCCTCCAGATAGAAATTTAGGAATGAATTAACGCACCACGCGGACATTTTGGAAATGAGTTAATGTATTGCGCGGCGAATTAGACGAAGCACGGCCGCAATCACGCCCCTATCGGCGACGCCGCTTCCATGCCACCGGGCTGGGTTTACTCATTTTCCCACCGCCGAAAAAATGGCGTGCAGTATGGCACGTGCACGCGGCCAGCAGGCATCATTGGGGATGTGGGAAAAGGCAAAGGTTACGTCAGCTGGATGTGGTATGGTCAATCGACATATTTTCTCTGTGCCCAGACAGTCGGGTGTTCTACTCGACATGTTTCAGGAGCCAGACGAAGAGATTTTTGAAGCCCCCAGGCAGCGAGGCGCCTGACGTGGTGTACGACTCAACAAGGTAACAATACGGTCGCAAAGACAAAAAACCACGTTAAGGGGGAAGTTCGGGCAAACTTATTTTTCTCAGCTCCAGATTCGGGAGCAACTCATACGATATGGTGTGTGCGTCCGTAGTCACATCGGCCCCGCGTTTGTCCCGAAAACCTCGACCGTTCAAACGGAAGTCGGAATCCACGGAGTCGTCTGTGCCTTTCAATGGAAAAGGCGGAATTTGTATTGTGACGACTCTACTGGCAATGCGATGGCAGCAGCATCTGCTCGTGCAGTAATATACAATATCCCTTGGCGCGGGCAACTGCGAATTACAATGTAGGATTTCCACCGGCGATGAGGCACAAGGCCAGGGTCGTGAACTATCCACATCACACAGATTATGCTGTGGCATCGACCTTAAATTCTACGAGACAAGGGGGAATCATGACTCGAGCTTGGAGCTGTTTTGGCATCAAGTGTGTCAAATCGCCTCCAAGCGCCACCTCAATCTCAAGGTAAAGAATATGAGTCTGTCATGATGCTTCTTGAAGTATATGTTGAACGATACACAATCCGCAACTTAGGGATGGAATTCATAAAAAAATTCAGCAGTGAATGTCCAAATCAAAATTGGCAACGAGCATCATCAAACATGAGGGACG